CTAGAGACCCTAAAAGAGAGACCCGACTTCTTGGGAGTCCGCGTGATTGGTGCACGTAACTTGTGTCCACAAAATGGCGCCGCCCAATAGGAACCCTTGCTGATCCAGCGCGAAGAAGCAGACAATTTGGATTGAATTACACTCACTCTCCGAATTTATTTAAATATAGTAATGAATAATACGTTTTTTGAAACATGCATATATCATATAGGTGAAATAATAATAAATTAAGTGAAAAAGGTATGATAATATGTATTTAATATTATATATATATATATATATATATATATACATACATATACATAATGATATAACAATATTATATTTATTGTAAATTATCGTATTGTCGCATGCATCGCCATAGTTTTACTATTATATATTTTTTTCGGTAAACGGCCCCCAGAATTCCCTATTCGAAGTCGAAATCGAATAAAACGCATCATTATCTTATTCTTTATGTTGTGACAGTTTCTCAACGTTTCGCATGCAATGGCCTGCATTTTTTCATGAAAAAAATGAACTAAATCAAATTTAGTCGTTTCAAAATTTGTTTTTAGATATGGTAAGTACTGCCTCATAACAATTTCCATCTGATGAAAATACTCAAATGTTGCGTTATTTACGAAAAAAAGCGTATTACGTCGAAAAGATTTCAACAACACAAATTTTGCAAATTTTGAAGATGGATTGTATGTGAGAGATCCAGCGGAACTTAAACACAATTTACAAGTAATATTATTGTTTGAAACACGGGAGAGAATATAGCCGGCGATGTTGTACAATACATTCAGTTCAATGTCCCCTATGTGTATTTTTCTCGTTGACAAATCAGGAACAGGTGGCAAGCGGTTTTTTATTTCTTTAGATTTAGGTGTACTCAAAAAATCGCCAACAATAATTCTGTCGTCTTCTTCGTAGCTGGAATTACCTACAGGTTTTAAATATTTTGAAATTGCGATTATTTTTAAATTTTGCTTGAATTGCAAGGCGGTTGGAATGGGTTGTTTAGCTCTAACACAAGAAAATATGTTTTCGACGCAATCTGATGTTAACCGACCTGCTAGTACGAACTGATAGCCTTTTTCATTAATTAAATAGGTCGACAATTCAATGATGGACTTGGTAGTGATTATCACTCCACGTTGCACAGGTTTGAATTGTGTACCATTTCCAACTTTCATTTCTTGGAAAAGTTCTATGATTGATTCTAAAAATGCAATTGATTCTTCAAATTTCTTTTCGAAAAATTTATCACCTGTCACTTTCCCTAATGCAATTTTTGGAGTACGCGAAGTCACCAATGTGAACCACTTAGAAACGACTTCAATAAAAAAGGCTGTCGTGCAGAACGCTTGTTTAGAATTTTGAGTCGATAGCAATTGTAAACTAGCACTAACATCACGAGACAAAAAATTTTTTGCTTTGTTTACCTTCATTTTATTGAAAGTGCCGCTCGAAATATCGTCTACTTTTATATTGGGTGCTAGTTTTAATTCTAAATTTTCTTGAAATTGAGCAAGTTCTGTAACATGCAAACAATCAACTACAGAGGACGACAAATTATTGTCAGTAACAATTTTCGCAGGTAAAGTAATAACTTTGTTATTAATCAAGCAAAATTTTAAATTTTTCAAAAGATGACCAGGATCAGCAATGAACCAAAGCTTCCGAGTATTAGGATCAATAGGATGAGCAATTGAGTTCGTTATTGTAGAATAACGCCCAGCGAAACCAACACAAAATTCACGCCACATCGCTAAATTATTTGGGCCCATGTCGCTTGTGATATTGTGTACATAAAGTCCGATAGATTCAGCTTTTTTAATAATTTCAAGTGCGATTGGTTGTAAAATTGCTCCATCATAGCTGTTGGGTGTTAAATAAAAAGCAACATTTTGTTTCTAACGTGAGAAAAGACCTGCTAGCACAAAAATCAAACCATGCGTAGCTTCAACTCTTTCACCTACATGCATGAAAAGATGCAAAAGAATAGAATTAGAAACACAAATAGAATTATATGCACAAAATAGAAAAAATGGGTGGATGTAGTATTTCATCAGCTTATTAAGCACCCGATGAGTTCTTGCATCTCTTATTAGTGTATTTTTTGAATCTTAAAAAATACATTAATGAGATGTACGATTAGCAGTTTTCAGAATGTTACAAAAAAATTCAATAGTACCAAATGCTAATTAAACTCGTTATTAAAATGCAAACCTTTACGCGTGCAAAACGATGCAGCTCCATAATATGACTGTGTGGATGGATCAAATTGTTGGCCTGGAACAATGGACATTTCGTCCAGTACAAGTGAGCAATCTCTTTCTCTAACGTCTTTAAATTGAGTAACTTTGTCTTCTAATAATTAAAAAATGTCGTCACAAATTCCTTCCCGAAATTGGATACTTTCTAGTTTTCTTTGAAGTGTACGTTCGCACGGTAGAGGGTGTTTTTGCTTCAATAATTCTTCATAACCACTGGAACCGCATGCATACTTCAATCGAAGTGCTTTTTTAATAGTATCATTAGACCACATATGGCCGCGAGAGGATGGACGCATGAGAGCTCTTATTTGATCGTCATTAAACAATTGCTTGAGTGATGATTCCAATCTCAAATAATTTTGGGTTTTTGAATTGTTTTTCATTTGTGTCAACCTCTTATTATGCTTCTTTAACACATATACGGATCGATTACTTTTCAAAATTATTTTCTGGGCCAAATTAAGTTTTATATTGGCTTCTTTTAACTCTTTCTTTAATCGTTCAACTTCATTAAGTTCTTGGTTGCTTATTTCTCTTGAATAGGTAGGAATAGAGGAATCTACAAGATAATATAAGAAGTCGTATAAGTAATTATAAATAATGAATTACATAAGGGTAATATATTATAGTAAGTCAAATTTTGTAACCACAGAAAGAGTAATAAATTGTTATTGAATTTGCAACATTACTCGATGTCAATGGAATAATATCAGGAACATCTGCTCCGAGACAGTCCTCTTGCTGCTTGTCTTCATGAACATTAAATGTTTCAAATGCACCAGGTTGCCTTTGTGAAGATTTATTAGTTTTTTCCTAAAAAATTCGTTATTTTCATGAAAAGGTAATACTTTTTGCTGTTTTTAACTAAGATACGCAAAGAAAGGAAACTCACGTTTGTACTAATAGATGCACTGCTTATTTCCAATTGAGCAGGGAAAATTGTGGACACAGCGTTGCCTTTTAATTTTCTTTTCCCGTCATCGCGTATAATATCAGAAACATCTGCTCCGAGACAGTCCTCTTGCTGCTTGTCTTCATGAACATTAAATGTTTCAAATGCACCAGGTTGCCTTTGTGAAGATTTATTAGTTTTTTCCTAAAAAGTTCGTTATTTTCATGAAAAGGTAATATTTTTTGCTGTTTTTAACTAAGATACGCAAAGAAAGGAAACTCACGTTTGTACTAATAGATGCACTGCTCATTTCCAATTGAGCAGGGAAAATTGTGGGCACAGCGTTGCCTTTTAATTTTCTTTTCCCGTCATCGCGTACTTTTTCCCACATATCATTTGCAAAATGTACCTATAAAAAATTTTTATATATTGTCAGTATTTTTATTTTTATAACTCAAATGAAATTAATTTATCTCTCACATATTACTTACTTCACATACAAACAGATCTATTGTCGATTTCCAATTCCTTAGTCTATGTTTGCCTATGTTAGCAATCCAAACATCTCTTCTTTCTGGATTCGTTGGGAAACGAGCCATAAAAATTTTTATTCCTTTCTTTGTGCGTTTTAAACATGTTGACACACAGCAAGCTGGCATTTTTATATCTATAAAAATAATTATTTAGTTATTTTTTGTTCTTTTTTTCATATATTTATACATATTACACACAATTTTTTAAAATAAACATTTCTTATTGCTGTTAATTACTTTGCAAAATAAGGTTAAAGACATTCAACATTGTAAATATTTATTAACATACATCGAAGATAATACTTTTCTACTTTCTTAATCAAACTGCAAAATAGTGCAAACATGTTATATACAGCTATTACTTATCACAGATTGATGTGTGTAAATAAATAAATCATGTTACTTACACGACACAGCAGTGTATTGTGCGACGACACAAGATCACATCACAGATGATATACGGCCGCGACACAACGTGACACACGAGCGAGCATACGTTGGGCCTCAATCGTTCGATATTATTTCTTTGTTACCGTGTCAGAAATGCTCGCCGTTAATGGCAGGCATGTACGAATTACACGTGCTACGGCGCGAGTAAAGAGTCCTGTGTTTCTGATGCAATCTCCCTCCATATGTTCACGGCATTTGCGGCCATTTTGTGGACAGTTGTCGGGTCTCTTATTATAGGGTCTCTAGTCGCACCTTATACCTCGCGACATCGTGCGGCTCGTGCAAACGTTATTAACGCGCGGCAGAAACGCCTCGTGTGAACAGGCTCCTTGATCTCAGTATCAGCTCCCTGCCGTCAATATATAATATAAATATAGGTCAACCTGTATATATAAACACTCACGTAAACGCCCCAGTAAGCAAGGAACATTAAATTAACGTTTAGAAATATTGACTTTATGTGTATTTTTTAAACGTTTTTTAATAATATTATACACATATTTGAAAAATATTATTTCGTAATATGATTTTTCTGAATGTTGTTAAAATATTTTGAAAACGTTACAGAAAATATTTTTCAAATGTTACTCTGACATTTATTTGAGATCAATGCAACAGTTCAAAATTCCTTGTAATTTGGACTCAGAAATAACGTTGGTAGTATATTAATTTTCTGTTGTTATAATGTTATCGTTTTATATTGTGCGCAACGCTCATCGCGACAGCCATGATGTACATGATTATCCTACATACGATGCGTGAGTGCGTATACACGTGTGTCAATCGAGGAGTGCAGAGTGCTCTTTATTTACAGCATAATTATATATAAGTAGTAACTATTATATTCTAAAAGTTGTATGATAAGAATTCAATTAACCATATACGTGCTATAATTATTTGTGCTATGAATAGTAGCTGGTGATGTAGGATTCATTTTCCGATTTACAAGAGAAATTTACAAAAGAGAGGAAATATCAATTAATTTTTTTACGTTCTATAATAGGTTTTCCTTGGACATTAAAAATATCATCAAGGTTCGTCAATGCTATTATTTCAATGGTACAAAACAGTGTAACTTTCTATAAAATAACCTCAAAATTTAGCGAAATATGTAAATGATAACGTATAAATAAGCTGGTACACTATGCATGA